CGTCGACCGGTTTGTCATGCAACGGATTGTTATTTCTGCTTGACAAAAGTTAAGCAACAAGGACGTCACAAAACAGTTGAGTATCCACAAGTGGCTTCTATGACAAAACCTGTTCCACATTCAAGTTCGGTCCCGTATCCTGTTTATCCAAAGCGGAAACGAGCGCCCTCTGTTGAATCGACCGTTACAAAAAGTGAGGAGGAATTCAAGGAGGAATGCGAGGAAGACTTCGAGGTGGAATTGGAAAGAAACCCAAAATAGTTTACACAATCCGAATTTAATGATTTGGTGCGAGATCTCGACTTATCGAAGGAGAAATCCGAATTGCTGGCATCACGCTTGAAAGAACACAACATGCTGAGCAAGGAGGTCAAAATTTCTTGTCTAGGAATCGTCACAAGAAATTTGACAAATATTATTCTACAAAGGACAAGGCATGTTTTTGTCATGACGTAAACGGCTTGTTTGAAGAGTTTGGTGAGCCATATGATCCAGCTGAATGGCGTTTATTTGTTCCGATCTTAAAGTGGTTGCCATGTTGACTGGATTGCAACAGGGATACACAAAATATATGTGTTTTTTGTGTAAATGGGACAGTCGAGCTCGTAAGGAACACTACGTCCGAAAAGATTGGCCAAAACGGGATAATTTCACAATTGGTAAAGACAACGTTAAAAATGATCCTCTTGTGGTAAAAGAACGCATAATACTTCCACCACTACATATAAAACTTGGGCTATTCAAAAATTTCGTCAAAGAGTTGTAAAAAGAAGGGCCGGCATTCCAGTACTTGAAATCAGTATTTCCAAATTTATCTGACGCAAAGATAAAGGAAGGTGTATTTGTTGGCCCACAGATCAAAAAACTGCTCAATGATTCCGCATTCAATACAGTTTTGACACCAGATGAGGAAGAAACGTGGAAATCGTTCCAGCGTGTTGTCACAACCTTTTTAGGAAATTTCAGAAGCCCAGATTATGAGGAATCCGTCGATGAATTGCTCAAAAATTATGAGAAAATAGGTATAAATAAAAAATATTGTGTTTGTTATATATAATTAATTTCAAATCCTTTTATTTCACTGAACACAGGTGTGAATATGTCTTTGAAGATACATTTCCTACATTCTCACATGGATTTTTTCCCGGAAAATCTTGGTGACGAGAGTGATGAGCACGGCGAACGTTTTCACCAACAAATGAAGATGATGGAACGTCGTTACCAAGGGTTTTGGGATGAAGCAATGATGGGTGACTATTGTTGGTTTCTGATTCGAGAAACAAGTTCAAAACATTGAAGACAAAGTCATTCGATTCTCAATCATTTTTAATAAAACCTAAATAAATTTCTTTTGTATCAACTCGGTTTTAAATCCTGATATGCCTTAATCAAATTGATATGTAAGGAAAAGAATCTCCCATGAAAACTTTACATGCGATTTGGATACTTACAACGACACCTAGAAAAGGAACTCTAAAGCTGTTGTATTTCAGCAACATTTTTAAGTGTTTTACAAAAATGCTCATAACTTCGACAATTTCCAACCGATTTCATCCATTAAAGGCTCATTTTCTCCGGTTTTGAATGGACTTTAAGAATAAATTATGGAATGATTTTTTGAATCTTTTTATCCCATTAAAAATGTTGATTAAAACAAGATTTTTATGGAAAATTCGCAGGAAAAATAAAAAAAAAAATGCTGTAAATTTTTAAATGACTTCAAAATTAAATTTTTAATTAAAACATAATATTCTAGTGAACGATAGCAAATTTATTTAGCTTCATTTTCATAAAAAAAGATTTAAAATTGGTGCACTAGTTCCAAAGATATTGATATCTTAGTAATCGTACTTTTGTCGAAAATTCAAAAAATCAAAATTTTTGTATATCTCAAAAATGGCTCTACTTTAATTTTTTCTGACCACGGCATTGAATTTAGCGTAGGATTTTGCATTGGAAATGATCATCACCTTACCGAGTTCTAAAATGCTGTAAACTAGTGAAATCGGGTATTATGATGTTATCGATGCGATGTATTGTCTTATCTTCTGTGACTTCATTTATGTACGGTATTATGGTTTTAATCTCAGGTTCTGTATGCGACGGTTTAATTGCATTCAGTTTTTCAGAAAAACTCAATAGCCATTCATTCGGGTCATATGTGTATGATGAATTCGGTATTTCCTCCATCACCTGGCCGATAGTGAGTAATTTAAGATTGTCTTTAACTTGTATTGCTCTTGGCATCTTCTGCTTGGAACGCAGTTGAGAGAATATATTTTCTATACAATCTTGTGTGAACCTTCCCAGACATATGAAGTCGAAGCCATTATCCAGAAAATAATTCTGTAGCCGTAGCAAACCATCTGTTGCTAATATCATACCTGCTTGCCAGGGCTTCCAGAGTGCCCTTTCACCGACCCTACATGTGTATATAAAGCTGCGGAAGCTTTCGAGGAACAGAATAGCTTGCTGATAAACCTCGGGATTTTTTTTTGCTTAGCGCAATCTGAAGATAGCGAGACGTTACAAGTTTAAACCACCCAGATAGATTTTGAATAAAAAATACCGTAGTCAGAACTTCCGGCCGGTTGGATTGAATGCTGTACATCTTCAAAGCAGCAGCTACCGTGTGGCTTACGTATTTTGTGCTGTTTTTAACCTGTAAGTTGTTATATTTGTAGCTTTGCTATAATTATAAAAAAGATAAGTCGAAGAACATATTGTATCACCTTCATTTTCTCAAAGTTATTTTGTGGTTTTGTGAAGTCCACATCAGCAGTTGTGAGTCCACAGGCCATCTTTAGTCCAGTCTTCGATTCACGGAGTACCAAATCACGAATATGACAAATATCCACCGTTGCGGAGCACAGATTCTGTTGACTAACGGTTTCTTGAGACAGTTTGATGGTCTTATTGTTTAGCCAGCCTTGAACTGCAGATTTGAAAACGTGTACAGTATCTGGTAGGACTTCAAAAAGCCTGTGTTCGTTGAAGGGATGGCGTATTGGCTTGTTGTTAAGAACTTGACTTTCGGTGTGTAGAATACCGAGGTCGTTCCATAGTCGTTTATTGTTGCTACCGCAATCGCTAACCGCCGCATGCACCCTTATTCCAAGGGATTCGGACCGTTGAATTATGTCAAATATAATGTCACGCAAACAACCATTACTGATCGATGCTCCAGTGAAATAATACGCGACTATTTGCTTCCACCTCCACCGTATCCCTACCAACATAAAAAGTAATACGTGGGTTGCCCTTCCGGAATGGTTCGGTAGCGTGATATCACCAAAAAAGTATTTGTTGTTCAAACAGAAGTCTTTACCTTGACTGATAGCCATCTCGTCAAAAATAAGAGCGCAATCCAGGTCATTTTTTGACATAAAAGGTATTTTCACACTCATTAGCTCGAAAACGTCTCCAAGAATGCCAGGAGCAAAGTGTAGATGCTGTATATGTTCATTAAGCGTGCGAGCACTGGGCAACCGCAGGTTCTTCCTTTTTCTCTCCTTTTTCGTAGTCAGTCCGTTATGGAAGCGTCTGACCATTTATGTATCCTGGATTTACCTGCCAACAATTTATACTGGTCCTCGTTAAACATCTTCTTTGAAATTTGTTCTGCTGGATGCTGATCGTACAAAAGCTGAAGTGAGTCGACTTGGCGCTTGAGGGTTTCTATTTCCTTGTCTTTGCATGCAAGCGTTAGCTGAAGTTCCTGGATCAGACTGAAATATGTTGTATCATAATTAACAAAAAAGTACAGGATCACTTTACTATAAGAACTTTCTTACCGTTCTTGCCGCTCAAAACGGGTGTATAAAATGTTACAGCTTTGGCAAAAACTTTCACTATTGACGCTGTTCAGCTTATCTGCAGGTTCGTAGACGTATTCAGATCGATTTAAGCTATTTCCTTTCGCGATGGTATTTAACAGGTGCAACTTGCCGGTGCTCGCGATTCCACCATACGATCCTGGCAATAATTCCGCCGAACCGAATGCATCAGACGTGATTTCCGGAATATCCATACTTGTGCTAGCGTCGCAAGTCAGTACAGTGTCAGTATCATCCAATATTATGTTGCCGTGGTGCTGCTGATGTTCACCGGATGTATTTGTTTGGTCCTGGTTGGTTTCTTTTAGTAGTTCTTCATCTATTTCTACGTTTTCGACAGTCTGTGACACATCATAATTCCCTCGCTGATAAACAGGAACAGCACCCGGTTGTTTTCTCACATTCCCGCCTTGTTTCGGGACATACAGCTGTGCGTGATCGAAGTGCAACTAAAAAGAAACTTAGCAATAGTTTTAGGTGCTAATGTAAACAAGAAACGTACTTACACTGCATAGTAGACTGATGCAAATTTTGACATTTTCGCTCCACAGTGCTCAAACGGTTCCAAATTGGGTCCTGATTAGTCTCCCAAAATTTGAACTCATTTGATAAGAAACTGACTTTTATGTCTTCACTTTACGGTTTCAATAACGTTAGATTTTTTTTTTTTTTTTTTTTTCTTTATTTTAGAGATTTTTAGCCTGAGGCTAGTTAACGTTAGATGCAAAAGGGTATTTAAAAGTATTACTTTATATTTCTCACTTACAATAACACTGGAAGAAGATAATTTGCCTCCGCTTACAGCTGCGGCTCAAGTTCGAATGAACTGGATTTATTCTGTCTCTGAAAAGAGAATCTTTTAGTACAGTATCTCTTTAATCATCGAATACACTCTTAATGTTATTTAATCGAAACTGGGCTACTACAATTCTCCCCTTTTTAGAAAATTAATACATAATTGATTTTATAACATATTTCAGGCTTCAATTTATACATTCAAATATTTCAATAACTTCAAATTATTGCTACTCTTCGACATGGTTTACGTATTACGACTGTTTTGCGATTGTTTACTTTTCTGTATCATTTAATAGCTTTTGTTGGCTGAATCAACCCTGTATCTCGTCAGGATAGGACTTCGTATCTGCACATGACGCTTCTTCGCTAGATGAACAATGTTTGAACATCTTCTGGCACCATAGGAACATCCGGGAAACCTAAGAGGTCTTCCTCGTCAGAAACACTTCTGTGTCTCTTCTTGGATGCCGGCATGCCCATGGATACGAATACTTTCGATTGTCGGCGAGGCGTGTGGGCCATCTTCAGCTGGTTCCTATGAGCAGTTAGCTTGTGACCACTCAATGATATCTGAAAGATATTTTTAGAAAACTTTTTAATAAATTTAGCTTCCAGCCATCTAGGCAAATCTTTTTTATCAAAATTTTTATAAAACAGCTTATCCCCTGCCACTAGCTTATCAAAATCATCCGGAAGAGCTATTGTTTTACCCGATGTTTCATTATCAGTGTTTAACGGTAATAAATCATTTGTATCCTTATACAAATTATTTTTGTAATTATTCCGTGGATTAATCAAATCCAGCAGCATCTTTGGCTTGTACAAAAACACTCTTTCTGAAGGGAACTTCCCTTCCGTACCAAGACAACTATTTCTATAGTTGATAAAAAAAAGATTCAATTGGTCTTCTATATTTAAAGACCTTGTCTTCTCATCAAACAGGAATTTTTTTAAAACATCCTTGATGACTCTCACCATCCTTTCCGCTTGACCATTGCTTGCTGGGTTGTATGGTGGACTTTTAAGAACTTTGATTCCTTGGCGCTCTAAGAATTTAATAAACTCTATAGATTGAAATGGAGGACCTCCATCCGTTACTACCACATCTGGTAGACCAAAACGAGCAAAAACAGGAATGAATTTTTGAATTACCGCTTTAGCATTTGTCCCATACCGCATCCATTCTACCTCAAGCCATTTAGAATGACTGTCCACTATTAGCAGAAAGGTTTTCTTATCAAAATAAAAGAAATCAGCGTGTAATCTACTAAACGGACGGTTTGTTGGTATCCATGTCTCAGTAGATTTCACCTTTGGCACTACTTCCATTTTAGCGCAAGTATCACATCCTTTAACAAACTCTTCTATTTCAGCATTAAAACCTGGCCAGTATATTGTCTTTCTAGCCAATTGCTTCATTTTAATCATTCCACTGTGATTAGCGTGCAGTAGCTTGAGTACAGCGAGTTTCTTTTTTTCAGGTACAACCACCCTGTTCTCCATTAAAAGGATGCCATCAACTATCTGCAATTTTTCTTTCAGCGCGAAAAAATTCTTAAATTGCTTCGGTACATTTTTCGGCCAATGATTTGATACAAACCTCACTAGTTCTATCAAACACTTGTCTTTTTTAGTTTCTTCCAATATCAACGAAAAATCTAGTGGAAAATCATTTGAAAAGTTCAAACTGTTTATATTTTCTTGATCTATTCCACTAGGAATTTTCTGATCGAGGGGAAAACGACTGCAAAAATCGGCATTTCCCATTCTTGAACCAGGTCGATACTCAATTTCAAAATTATAAATAGAGAGCTCCATTATGTATCTTTGTAATCGTGTTACAAAAACAGAATGTTTGCCCTCTTTCCCAAAAATTCCTAGCAGAGGCTTGTGGTCAGTAACCACTGTGAATTTTTGACCGAAAAGAAATTTATGAAACTTTTTAATTACACAAACAAGTGCCAACGCTTCTAAGTGCAATATCGGATACTTTTTCTGTGCTGTGTTCAACGAAAAAGAGGTGAAACATATTGGTTTTTCTATACCATCCACTGTTTGAGCCAATACGCCTCCTAAACCATAGGACGACGCATCAGTTACCACAACTAAAGGTTTGGTTGGATCATAAAAATCAAGTATGTTAGCTGATAACAAACTCTGTTTACTCTGTTGGAATGCTTCATCACATGCTTCTGTCCAAAGAAATTTTTCATTTTTCTTCAAAAGATTGTATAGACACCTTAGTTTAGATGACATATTTGGAATGAATTTATTGTAATAATTAATAAGCCCAAGATAAGCTTTCAACTCATTTTCATTCTGTGGTGTTTTAGCTTTTTCAATTGTTAAAAGTTTTTCTCGAGAAGGCAATAAACCATCTTTTGTGATCATATGTCCTAAATACTGTAGATATTCAACGAAAAATTTACACTTTTTGAAATTAACACGAACATTTGCATTAGCAAGCCTTTCAAGTACTTGTACTAATTTGTCATAACATTCTTTTATTGTTTTACCTGCAACCAGGACGTCATCGAGATAAGAGCAGACACCTTCAAGTCCTTTCAGAACTTGGTCCATGACTTGCTGGAACATAGCTGCACTTGATGTCGCACCTTGCGGTAAACGATTAAATGTGTATAGACCTTTAACAGTGTTAATTACAACATATTTCTTTGAACGATCCGATAGCTCGAACTGCGTATATGCTCCTGTTAGATCCAAAGAACAGAATACTTTGCATCCTGCTAACGATGCAAAAATATCCTGAGCGAGTGGAAGAGGATAAGTGTCAGGAATTAAAACTTTATTCAAAGAGACTTTGCAGTCAATTACCATGCGTATATCTCCGTCTTTTTTCAAAATTGCGATAACAGGCGAAGCCCATTCACTAGCCTTGATAGCTGTTATAACTCCTTGTTGTTCAAGCATGTCCAGATGATTCAAAAACTTCTCCTTTAGCTTGTATGGTACCTGGTATGCACGTTTAAAAATTGGTTGCTCTGACTTGAAAGTAAGATCAGCCTTGAACCCTGAAATAGGTTCGCAAAAATCCTTACTAAATACTTTAAAATATTTTTGTTTTATGTTACCTATTGCATTTTCACGAAATGTGTCAAAGCCCAGATGGTTAATAACTCCAGGGTTCAGGAAGTGTAACTTCCATTCTGGATAGAAGCTCTCCATCCAGTCTCTTCCCAAAAGAGAGGTAAAATCAGATTCGGTATTCAAAATTACAAGTTTTTCCAAACTACTACGTCCGTTAAGACTGACCTTTACCAGAAGCTGTCCAGCAACGGCAAGCTTAGAACCGTTAACTACCACCAATTTCTTGTTACATTTTGTCAAAACAATAGAATCAAAAAGTTTTCTATACAACGTCTTACTGATCACAGCAACTGCTGACCCTGTGTCAATTTCCATCATCAACCTACGACCTTGAATTATGACCTCTACTAAACATGGTTCGCTCACGTTGCTGTTACTTCCAATTTTCATGCAATTAATATCTGATTCGTCACTAGAGTTGTTTATGCTTATTCTGTTGAATTTGTCAAATGGTACTTCGTCAGTAGAGTCTACCTGTTTTACGAATTTCACCGAATTTTTGTTTAAAAACCTACAATTTTTCCTAATATGTCCTATGCGTTTGCAATAATTACAAACTGCATTGCTGTGTCCATTCCAGTCTTGTTTACCTCGCTTGAACGCATTGCTCCTGTCCCCACTTCCAGATCGACTTCCATCACGATCCTGACTTCTACTTCTTGAACGGAATCTACTGCTTCGCTGTTCTGAACGTCTATCAACGCGGTGATTATTTCTTTGACCTAAACGGTGCCTAACCGACAAAATAGCTCCTGTGTCGTTCGGATCAACAATTTCTCTGGTTCTCTGGCTTGCAACTTCATCGCTAATGATTAACTTTTCTACTGCTTCAACCGTTATTTCGTCTTCCATCAATATTTTACGCTGAAGTTTTTTATCACGAAGACCAATAATGAGTCTATCTCTAACAGCTTCATCCTTGAACTCCTTGAAGTTGCAACTTTCTGCTAATAGTTTTATTGCGAGAACAAAATTTTCAGCGCTTTCGGTCGGTCCTTGAAACTTAGTGTAAAATTTGTATCTGTGCATAAGTGCAGGTTCAGTCTTATCAAAACGACTCTTCAATTTTTGAATCATTTCATCAAAATCCAACTCATTTACATCTTTTTTTGGAAATAGCAATTTGATCTCGTCAAAGACATCATCACCACTAAGGGAAATAAACCACTGCTTTTTCTCTTCCGCTTTAACTTTGTTTAATTTACACATTATCTCAAATCGCTCTATATAATTACAAAATGATTTACCAACATGAAAATGATCAATTGTTCCGATCATACCAGGAACTGACATTTTGTTTACAATCTATCTGCGAATGGAATGTGAAAAAGGCTATTACTCACGTTTTCTGTTGTTCACTACTCACTGAATCTCACCCTCAACCTACGAGAAGCGTTCTGCTCAAGGTTCAACTGTGTCGTTCACGTCAGACGTTCTCCGATGATCTACACACTCTCACTGATGACACTCCGTTCGGTGAAATTATTCGTTCCTCCTTTTCACTAATCGACGTAAAAGACCATGCACTTCTTTCTTGCTCTCCGTATAAACTTCACGTTTCCACTTTGCAATTAAGTTGTTTGCTGCTACTGACTTCTTGTTTACTGCTATTGATCCACAAGTGTTCTCTCGACTTGTCTCAACAACCGGGCCGATTGTCTGACACTCTCACTACTTGGTTACTCACTCTTACGATTGGGATAACTCACGAGATTCCGTAGCTCTCTTCTCTCGTTGATTTTTCTCTCGGAAAATTTGTTATACTCACGTCGAGAAACGTCTCTCGCCTTCTCTTGTACACTAGGAGACAAAAGAAAACGACTCTGTGACGGGGACTGTGAAAGAAAATTCAAAATGGAGATTAGTAATTGTGAAGAGGACAATGAACGGTGAATTTGGAATTTATTTCACAAAACCAATATGCGCACAAATATTTCACTACAAGAAAATCCTTATTTTCCTGAAATCGTTCGATGCTAACACCTTCACGGCTTCGAATATGCTCAACAGCTACTCTAGCAAAATTTGCTTACAAGTGCACTGTCTGCTACAACGTAACTTACCCTAGCTCACTCTGGAAACTTTCCGTCTGAGCCTGTTTTCGGTGGATTCGTTTCACTTTCTCGTCGCCACTTTTATGTCTTCACTTTACGGTTTCAATAACGTTAGATGCAAAAGGGTATTTAAAAGTATTACTTTATATTTCTCACTTACAATAACACTGGAAGAAGATAATTTGCCTCCGCTTACAGCTGCGGCTCAAGTTCGAATGAACTGGATTTATTCTGTCTCTGAAAAGAGAATCTTTTAGTACAGTATCTCTTTAATCATCGAATACACTCTTAATGTTATTTAATCGAAACTGGGCTACTAAACTGACTTCGCACAAACCATTTGAAGTTTATATGGAAATTACTATGGGAAAACCAAATATTTTGTTCATATCCATCTAACAATTTACCATATCGCTCTGCTTTAAAAAATGATAAATTTTCTCAGCTACAACTTTGTCCTGAACCACTTTTCAATATAATGTAAGCATCAAAAGTTATCAATAATTCAAGCCACTAATGTCTTACGATTATGCTCAATCAACAGTTCAGCAGGCAACATTGGTGTTTCTGGCGCTTGGAATAGAGCACAAAAATCATGGCTACTATGTCACACTGCAAGATACAGTGTTGCTCACAAAACAGCTGCTTGATCATGCCATAAGATTATAAATCTCTTAAACAATTAATAACTATTTTATTTTACGTTTGGCTCAACAACTATATTCTGCTAAGTTGAAGCTGAGAAAAATTTCCATAAGTTTAGCTTTTGAATTTTTGAACAGTGCCATATAGAAAAAGGTAAGAAGACAATGAACAAAAAGTTTGGATTTCCCATAGTAATTTCCATATATACTTCAAATGGTTTGTGCCAAGTCAGTTTCTTTTCAAATGAGTTCAAATTTTGGGAGACTAATCAGGACCCGATTTGAAACCGTTTGAGCACTGTGGAGCAAAAATGTCAAAATTTGCATCAGTCTACTGCATAGCCTCATCGAATCCAGCAGCTGGTGGTTCTTCGGTAAACCGCAAAATTGTAACCATTGCATACGAAACACTGATGCTTTCGGAAACCGGAAAAAGCTTACGTTTTTAAATTGCGTGGCTTTAACGCCCCCGCGATTTGTGCAAAACTTCACGATGCACTTCATTTTTACACTACACGGTGAATGAGAACGACCCAAATTTGAGTTTAGTTTACTCACCTGAAGTGTCTTGAAATTTCGTCCAAAAAGGGAATTGAAACATCTATCATATTTAAAAGATTAGAAAGTTAATAACCCTGTTTAGTCAAGGTTGCAAAGACTCATTTCAGCTAAAAGAATGTTTTTCTAAATTATGAAATAATTAGATGCCATGATCAAATTTTGAATTGGTAGGATACAAGAAGAGGTTGCAAAGAATGTGTTTGACATATTAAACCTGTTTATTTCACTTCATGAGAGTCACAATCAGCGATTTTTCACAAACTCACTCACTCACTCACTCACTAACTCAGCGATCAGCAAATCGCTGATTGTGACTCATAGAAAGCAAAATTTACAGGTTTTATATTTCCAACGCATACTTTGTAACCTCTTCTTATAAGTTACAAGTAAAACATGCCATCATACCATCTTTTGGTTTTATTATTCCGAAAAACATTATTTTAGCTGAAATGAGTCTTTGCAACCTTGTGTTTAGTTTGTATAAAATGAGGAACGTAGTGTTATTACCTTGACTTGTATTAATCTTGAAAATATTATACCTGAACCAAACAGATACAGTGGTCATACCGCTGAACATACCTTTGTATTAAGAAACCTTGAAGCTTCTTTCTCGAACTTGAAATTCCGATGAACCGAAACCCTACATGGTATGAAAAAAGTACCCAAAAGTAAGTTCTTTTTACTCATCTCGCACTATAGTGTAGGAACCCAAAAGTAGGTAAAGCGGGTCAAAGTAGTTTTCATTTACTTGTGTGCAGTTCGTATGGAATTTTCCCCTAGCTTTCTACTCACAAGTAAGTTAGTTGTACCCAAAAATAGTTAAATATGATTATACTCAACGTTGGGTTCCCACATTTTACAAACTTATGCTGATTTTGGACTTGATAAAATATAAGTAAACTATCCAGTAAAATAAAGATGCTGAACAAAACAAAAAATGAAATTATTTTACTAAATCTTCAGTAAATCTGCTATTTTTTGATGAAGCTGAAGTAACTGTTTTTTTGACAGCACTTTACTGGTTGTCCAGCAATATTTTTGTTTTCCACCTTTGCTGAATTATTAATAATATTTTATCCATTTGTTTTCGTTTTGATAAATTGGGTAATTTAATGCAATTCCTACGCTGTTTTTAATGCATGATTTCTTTAAAGAATAATTTATTTTAAAAATGTCACAGTATACAGTTGATTTGGTAACATCGTTTCACTGCAGCACCACGATCCCATTTATTAGTCAATGATTTGAGCTATCCAGAGTGAACATCTAGCATACAGTGCTTGCTAAAATTAAATAGAAAATGTTGCTTAATTGATAAAATGATAAATTTTATTCACTTACTTTATGATTTCTGATCAATTCGACTAGGACGGCACGATGAATTAGATAAAAACAGCACTTTCATTCAAGAACATTAAACGCGGGACTGTGATTCTAAAAAAAACGTCAAAAACAGATAACAGTTTTGACAGCTCATGTTGTTAGCTGAGCATTCAGCAACATTTTCTGTATAGCTTTATTATTCAGTATAAAGTGCTTTTGCTGGAATCAGTTCAACAATCCATTTTGCTGAAACTTGATTCAGGTTTTTGGTGGGTAGATCTATTCTGGAATTTGTACATTAAGTAGATCGCCAAATATGGGAATTTTCAACGAAATACGATATAAATTGTCATCAATACACAATTTCAGGTTTATTTAATTGATCGTTACGTTAAACGTGTAATTTTATATTCATAAACCTGCTCCAGTTGGTAGTTGAAAATTACAAAATATTTTTATCTTTGAATGCTGCTGATTTTTATGAACCTGCGCTTCCGATTTTACACTCATACAGAATTCGTCCAACATCGCACAATTAATATGTTAAAATGTGGCATTCATCAACCTAAGAACGGAAGTATCGACACCAAGTGGTTGTGTAGATTGATACGAGCTTTCTTCTATAAATATGCATCCACACTTGGCGCTCCCGCTCAGTTGCGAAAGAGCAGTGTGTCGGTTCAGAAGTTACGGTCACTCGAGTGATCAAGTTGGGTAAATCCCCGAACCAAGATGGGGAATCTGCTGTTGATCATGTCGCTACTGGTGGCGGCACTAGCATTCGAGGGTTAGTGCGTGTAACATTGAAATCAAACCTGTAGAATGACAGTGGTTTTCATCCTTAGTCAGTGCCATCGGAGGATGTCCAGATGGGAAGGGCGTCTGCGTCGATAGCCGATACTGCAAGGGAGACCGATGGAGCAGTTCCAAAAAGCACAAGTGTTTCCTGCCGAATAAGAAGCGTGGAGTTTGCTGCGATGGGTGTAAGACGACTAGGGGAGGACCAGGAATATGCGTTGCCCCTGAAAAGTGTGAAAGTTACACGAGAGATTTTTTATTAGACCGAAAGACGCTCAATGAAGGCCAGTGGTGGAAGCAGCCCTCGGGAGTGTGCTATGAGACAAAGAATACGGTACGTTGTTGTTGATGGGAGATTCTCTATCCGCTTATCACTTAGTCTATTGAGTTTTGATTTTAGAAATTTTACTGCTGTCCAACTGAGCTGCAGAAGCCAGCACCAAGGTTGAAGCCAAAAGCGAGCGCCAAGTCTTGGGCTGATAACGGTGAGTGTGGTAAAGCGCGATGTGGAGGGGAAGTCAGTTGAATGCGTGGGGATTACAGCTAGAAGCTGATTCACGTGCCGGTTTGCTGGAAGTGTTGCTCGGGAAATCTCGCATTTTGAGTTGTGCGCAAGGTTGCTAATACTTGTTAAAGCTAAAACAATTTTTTTTTTCGGAATTATGAAACTATTAGATGCTATGAACATATTTTTTTTTATTTGTGAGATACAAGAAGAGATTTGAAACATAAAACCTGTCAATTTTGCAACTCTCTCTCTCTCTTTCGTAAACAACTCGGCCACAAAAAAACGTTTCCTGCAGTATTTGTCATTCGAAAACTTAAGTTGACGAAGGGAATCGATCAATGTAGATAAGACCTATTGAAAAGTGACAGGTGTTATGTGCCAAATACATACTTTGTAGCCTCTTCTTGTACCTTTCAAATAAAAAAATATATATGTTCATAGCATCTATGTAATTCTCGATGAACATTTCAAATAGTCCTATCTGCTTTGATCGATTCTCTTAATCGACTTTCTCTTTTCATAACCACTGCTCTGCAAACAGATTTCGCGTTAATTCTACCACATAGTTTGATAAATGAGGTTCTTGTCTAGCATCCAAAACGTCAAATACAACAGGGAAAGGTTTTGCAGCTGAGTTATTGACGAAAGAGAAAGTTGATGAAGAGAATCGATCAAAGCAGATAGGACCATTTGAAATGTTCATCGAGAATTGATTCATAATTCCAATTCCAAAAAAACTTTGTTTTTAGCCAGCTGCAGCCTTGGTCGTGTGCCGATTGAAGTGCGCAGATAAAGGGTGGGCTGATTTGCATACGCAGCAATGCTACGTACTTGTTTTACTAAGCTTTAGTAGTGATTCGTCATTTGTGTTTGCATACTGAGAGATAGTATAGAGCTTAGTGACGTTTAACGCACCCACACTAGCGGGGGCACAGTGGGTCGACTCCATACAAAACCCGGACAAAATTCCCAAAAGAGGTTTTAAATGATTACAAATCGATTCTTTCGATCAGTTCCGAGGGTAAACACCTTTTTCAGCCGTTTTGGTCCACCCAGATATGATCCCAGCATGGGTACTCCCAAGGATATGACCAATAGACTTATGCAAAATTTGAAATTTTCGCTCCACAGTGCTCAAACGGTTCCAAATTGGGCCCTGATTAGCCTCCCAAAATTTGAACTCATTTAGTGAGAAACTGACTTGACACAAACCATTTGAATGTTATATGGGAATTACTATGAAGAAACCATAATTTCGATTCATATCTATCTCAAAATTCAACAGTTCACTCTACTTCAGAAAATGATAGCTGAGCTTGTTGAAAATTTTCCCAGCTACAACTTTGTTCAAGACCACTTTTCGATCAAATTTAAGGAACATGATTCATGTTAATGATTCAAGTCATTAATGTCTTATGATTATACTCAATCAACTGTTCAGCAGGCAACATTGGTGTTTATGGCGCGTAGAATAGAGGACAAAAATCATGGCTACTATGTCACACTGCAGAATACAGTGTTGCCCACAATGCAGTTGCTTAATCGTGCCATAAGATTATCAATCTCTTAAACAATTAATAACTATTTAATTTGACGTTTGGCTGAAAAATGATTTTCTGCAAAGTTGTAGCTGATAAAAATTATCATAAGAATACCAAAATAATTTGTTAACAGTACAATATGTTAAAAGGCTAGAAGACAATGAACAAAAAGTTTTGTTTTCCCATAGTAATTTCCATATAAACTTCAAATTGTTTGTGCCAAGTCAGTTTCTTATCAAATGACTTTAAACTTTCGGAGGCTAATCAGGACCCGATTTGAAACCGTTTGAACACTGTGGAGTGAAAATTTCAAATTGTGCATCAGTCTAATGGCCAATGCAATAATTTTATTAAAAACTTGTCACACTTCGAAAAAAAATACCGACTTCGGTAATTAATTTACCGAATTCTCAACCACTGATTGGTAATCAAGAACATAACTGAAAATTAAATGTAAACTGTGCATCGGCGCTTACTAACTGTCCCACCCTCTTTGCAGGTTTCCCACCATGCCAAACGCCCACAAACCACCCAGGCCGGTGTGTTCCCCTGCATCTATGTGACGATTTGTATGATCAGTTCATGTTCTATAAAACTAGAAAACTGCATAAACAGATCTTGGATAGTAAATGTTCATCGAATACCGTAAACAGTACTTCCGTGTGTTGCCAGAATCCATCGAACCCTGATGGGCTCATCCGACACAATAAGGCAAAAATGTTTGACCTCCACAAGTGCGGCAACATATCCATGACAGATAGGATCCTAGGAGGTACCGTGGCCGATCTGGGACAGTATCCCTGGATGGCGAATATTATGTACTACCGGAAACATACAACTAGGTACGGCACGGAGATGAGAAAGGTTACTCTATGCAGCGGTTCGTTGATCCACCCGAAGTATGTGCTAACGGCAGCCCATTGTAATAAACATTATCGTCCTATATCCGTTCGGCTAGGCGAGTACGACCTGAGTAAGAAGAAGGATTGCGTGGGCCATGTCTGCGCACACCAATTCATAGAGCGTACTATAGAGAAGTGGATCACACATGAGAAGTTTTCTGGATGGACAGGAACGGCTGATATAGCTCTGGTGAAATTGGGAATTGCGGCCAAGATCATACCGGGGCAAATTTCGCCAATTTGCCTTCCACTAACCGAACAGTGGTTGATGACGAAGCCTTCACAGCTGACTGCTAGTGGCTGGGGACAAATGGGAAATCAGCGATATTCCGATGTAATGATGCATGCGCAACTTCAGCTCGTGGATTGGAATGAGTATTGTCGGTATGAGGATCAGATTTGCGCTCGAGGCGCAGACATGGAAGGACACTGCCGCGGCGACTCTGGAGGGCCATTGCAGCAGATAGTGCGCTTGGGCAGGAAGTATCGGATGGTGCTGTTTGGAGTGGTTTCCGGTGGTGCTTACAAGTGCAGCAAGGCAGATAAAACGTCGGGGGTTTCAATGTTGGTTGGATACTATTTGCGTTGGATACTGGACAATATGGAAATCTAGAATCTAAAGCCATAGCTGCGGAGTCGGATCTAAAGTGATCGACTCCTCTGATTTGAAATCACCGATTCCGACTCCGAGCTTAAAAAAAAGGTTGTGTCCAAAGCACGACCGATTGACGTGGAACTACGAGATTATTTTTCCTGCTCCGTTCAATAAAATAAATATATTATAAATTAATAACAAAATAAAGGGTTAAGAATCTTAACTTCAAAATGAACAATTCATTATTAATTATTTTTATAGCGAGCGGCTATTGAATAAATCCTTAAATTAACATTCAATTTTTGCATCTAATAAATCAGTTCCTTTATTATTCATAATTAGGTTCCAACAAGAGGTATTCAACTCTGCGCACCTTAATCCGTGTCGAGTGATTGAGCTGTGCCGAAAGCTGTGCCATGCGCTATGCGGCTATCAATGTGTCAATATTCCATGAGTTTAGCAACCCGAGATTTATGACTTTTTTTTATTGTGTTTACATTCTCAATTTATCAGATGGATCAAGGCAAGCATAAAGCTTCCCTTCATTCTCATAAGTGCGTTTGTGGATCGGGAAGTGGAAGCCATCAAACCTGTACGGTGTTCAACCCGTCCACCAGATTCCGGATCAATGTCCCTTCTGCTGATTCCTTGCAGATGTACAGAAACGAAGGCGTAGCCCGATGATGGATGAAATTGCCACCTGCTCCCTGTCAAATCATTCCCGTTTAAAGTAACTCCGGATTTGAACGGGCGAGAATTCAATCCCACCCTAGGAGCAACATCCTCGGGCCAGTTTTGAATAAATCCTCAAATCAAGTTTTCAGCAATGAGCTAGGCCTTACAGTCGACCGATCGGTGGACCACCCATCGTTCTGGGGTCCTTTGATACGAACTAGTTCAACTGAAGGATGATGACAGCAAAATTACCGGATCTGGTAAAGGGGATATTCTTTCTATTTTTTTTTTTTTTTTTATTTTAGTCACTTTAACACTCATGGGTCATTCGTGACTTGTCCGGGGGTGAGATTTGAACTCGTGACTTTGGCGTGAGAGGTATGGATGTTAACCACTACGCCGGGGTCGCCCCCTTTTCTTTTTTTTTATTCTTTATTGGGAGCAGGGAAAAGCCCATTTGAGTGGAGCTTATAAAAGCTTTTTTTCTCAAATGGGCATAAAACCTCCTCATCTTTTCGCATCAACAGAACAGTACATTTCATATTCATTTCATAGCAGGTTTATTTAAAAAAATTCCATCTGTAAAATTTAAGTGAAAATTCACCAAATGGAACACAGCCTAAGCTCCCAATAGAATGGATCAAACCCCATATATACAACATATTTCTAGTTATAGTTATAGTTTTCATAATTTGCATTATTCTTTGTCCTCTTTTCTTTCGAGAATGATTGGGGGGGAGGTAGCTCATCGATTCTTCCGGTTCGCCTCCTAGCATCGTGCTATAAGGTACCAGGTGATAACCAGGGTAGTTGATCGATAGCTCGATGACGTCATTTCGTTGGCGTCTGCAATGGGAAATTCTCATAGCAGGCGTTGACGATGGGACGTTGTCGAGTTGTTGAATAGCAACTATTGTGGTAACTCATCGATTACCTGTCGATCTGCCAAATTTGGAAAGACGTCTGCATTGAATTGTCTCATATAATAATATTCCGCCCACTATATCACAAGAAATTGCGAGTAGCTGAGTGGAATGGAGATAAGTTAAGCATTGGGTACAGGACCAAGTCTCCCCTGGGTGGTGCCAAAAGATGAGCGCAATAGAATCATCAAGTTGCCATAAGGCACGGAATGAGACTATTGCATGGCTGGGTAGTCAAAGTCTTCCATTCGTTAGTCATTTCAGGTGGATTAGAACAGGTTTAGGTTTAGGGTGGGCGTTGGCCAGATTTGGATTTTTCAGATATAATCCTAAATAGGACCTAGATTATTTAATACACTAGTAACCTCAACTTCTGTCACAATGTTTCATTGTGACTAATCAACACTCAATGGGTAAAATATCAAATTTGCGGTAAATTTGAAAAAAAAGGTAACTTGGAGTGTAGAGTGCACTGCCCACTGGACGATTCTGAAACCTGAACAATATATATAGATACATTCATACCATTGGCATTTTGTATTTGAGATAAGACAGAGACAGGATGCGGAGGGCCCGCTTAGAGGGGCGTAACCCATGTTATGGCTTCCATTTATTAAATAGTTCAGATAGGCTGGAAATGATAGGTTCATCGTGAGAAAATGTACCATATGGTGCCCGTTCACTGATCAAAATTAGATTGAAATCGTCAGGCCCTGCCCTGTTATAAGGGGATTGACGATGATTTGTCAAGTTTCATTTTGCATTTGCATATAATTGTAAGTTTAGGTTTGCTTTTGTAATTGTAAGATAGGGGAAATGACGGCTTCGGCATGCCAGACTATTTTCGGCAACCCAAATTGAAACACTATTTTCACTGGATTTTCTTACGAAAACACTTCGCTGAATGCATGCAAACGATTCTTTATGCTTTCAGCTTCAATTTGACTATATTTTTACCACTGAGCAAAAGCAATCTAACAAGGTTTTCTTGAAATGAAACACACGCACTACAAATTGTAGCTGATTTCGAGTTGCCGAAAATAGAACAGCAGATTTACATGCAGTTCAAATGGAACGGTTGCCGAAGAAAAACGGGTTGCCGACAATACTCGCTCTCACTAGAGAAGATTGGAGCTTTTTAAAAGCGTTTCAAAACAGTTTTTGACAATTCTTTCGACTGAAATTGTTAGAGCAGCTGGCAGCAAAAGATTGTAAACAAACCAATACTGCATATGTGTCCGTTCGTTAGAGAAAAAGGCTATAGAAAGAAGGTCGCTCCTTAGGTTGCCGAGAATACGTAAATTCCCCTAGATAGTTTGGCTCAATTGAAACATTGAGTTGTATAAACTTGACGAATCATACCTCTAAAATAGTAGTAGTTACAGTGCCGCATTATCTAACAACCACTGCCTGCAACTAATGTTGGAGGGGTCAGCAGGGCTGATTACGGATCAAAACTAACATAACTCTAACACTGAAATGATCCCGAAACTAACGCTCATTCATTTCACTTTGAGTCATAAAGTAGTCAAGTTTTTATTTATTTTCCTACTAATCTATCTACACACTTAGTTTTTTCTACCGAGCTCGGCTGTGCGGGTCTCGGCGGGGAGGGGGTTTCGCTGAGATCTCGGCGGGAGTGACATTTGATTGCCGAGTCTCGGATAATGCCTTTTCTAATAATCTGCCTACGTTTCTTTTATTTGTTATCTACTTCATCCCTTTTTTATTTGTCTGCTCTTCTTTCCTCTTCTCTTCTTTTGTTTTGTTTGTTTACATATAACTAATACTAATACCTCCTTGTTTTCTCTCTAATTTGTCTACTATGTCCCACCATCACGATGAGAGATGAGCTACCGTACATGGTACACGCTCATATACACTCCCAAAATAGTATGCCGCAAGTAAGTATATCACAGAGGCAACTAAAGATCCAGAAACGAAAACCGATAACGCTGAAGATAATGAGCTGTGGTGATTTATATGACTAAATAGTATTATTTATTTAGCGTTAGCGTTAGCGTTAGCGTTGTTATGATATACTTCGTAGATTGGATACTAGCGACACTCACGTCTCTTCTGAAATTCTCAGTTAGACTACTTTCAGGAATAATGCTGAGGAGTAAACATTGGTTCCAATCTAAACAAGAGTGACAGAAGCATGACTGTCGCTATTCCCGGCCACGCCCATCTTTACCATAACTAGGGATAGGGAAGGAAATGTTGATGTAGTACTTACTTGACGAGAGGCCACCGACTTAGCGACACCCTCATAAGTGCTACGGAGTTGGAGAGTTGGGTAGGGTATTCAGTTAGGATTCACCTCAAGTTGGCGATGCAACCAAAAGTATGTATTGTTTATTTGTTGTTTATTTAATCTCTCGATAGCCGGCTATCGAAAGAACATATTAATTTTGTTTAGTGATAATGAATTTTTAGAGTCATGACGGAGAGCTTGGGATTAAACCCATGATTTTCTGCTCAGTAAGCAAAAACGATCCCTCCAGGGTCATCGAGCATCTCAGAACCATAACGCTTCGCGACAATACAGGACTACGTTTTCGCTTGATATGCAAATAGTTTCCGAGGTTAATGTTCAATATCAAATATACAAATGGTGGACGATTTATTGTGCTGTGGAAGAGCTTGGGGTTAAATCCATGATTTTCTGCTCAGTAAGCAAAATCGATCCCTCGAGGGTCATCGAGCATCTTATAATCCACAGCGCTTCGCGTCAAAGTACGAATATATGCATGAACTATCTATTATTGAATAACTAATATTTACGATAATTGTTGAGGCACCGGTGACGTCATCACCGAACGCGCAGCTACCAACACACGCGCAGTCGTCGGGCGTACCTGAGTGCGGATAGCCGACCCGAATCAAACGGTCAAAAACGTAAACATAGCAACATAAGTAAACATTAGTGGATGGAAATAGTCGATTGTAGTTGAATGAAGCGATTTAGTGAATTTATGGTGAAATTGATCAGTAGAGGGCATAATTAGTTAGTTAAGTGGAATCGTTTGTGAATTGCGGTATTAAAGAATCAGGCAAATAACACGGCACTAGCAGACACAAAAGGAGAAAACACGGTGAAGTGAAAACTATTCATGTGAGTTTTGTAGATTAAACCAAAAATTAACAATTAACTGAATACAAACTAATCTTACAGTTTTGAGCTGCTGTAAATCAACGCTGCTGCAAAAAAAGAGTTTTCATTAGTGATCCGAACATCCTCAAAAATGAATAGATCTAAAGGGGATGGATCTAACCTCAATCCGGATGAGACGGCGTACAACTGCGCGATTTGTACACGTCCGGATCATGAGGACGATCATATGGTGTACTGCGAAGGCTGCACGAAATGGTTCCACTTCAGTTGTGCCGGAGTTGGATCGGCCGTGGAATACGACGAGAACTGGAGATGTTCATCGTGCTGTGAAAAAGAGCCGGATGATAGTGATTCGGAAGATGATGTTGACGATGACGATGTTATTCCCGTTGACGATAGTGTTGACGGCC